CTTTGTAGACAACCAAATTAATTTACTTTTGTGTTTTAACATCATTTTTTAACTTTATTTTGGTCAATTTGATCGTCCACACCGATAGAGACAGTATTCAGAAAGAGACAGAGAGAGAGAGAAGAGGGGAGGAGTTGATCTTGCGAGAACTTCCGGGCGGGTGAGAATAGCCACTTTCAGAGATATAATCTAGAATCTAGATCTAGATCTAGATCTAGGTCTAGACTGATCTATAAGTAGAGATCTAGAATCTAGAGTCTAGATATCTATATTTATAAGCGAAGTCATTTCGTCACACCATGCCATATAGTCTAATTGGGGTGTGACGAGATGACCGTGTGACGAAATGACTGGTTACCGATTTTCTACATCTAGATCTAGATCTAGATCTAGATCAAGATGATCTATTGAGATTCGGGCCATCAAGTATCATGATTAAGTAGATCTACACCAACTGAACTAATCCAGTCCAGATCTTCCCCTTTGCCGGTAAGCCGCCGGTAAAAACTTTTTTTTGTTTTTAAATGTCACTTCCTAAGTTTTTACGGTGTGTTTAGTTCAGAGTTCAGCCCAAAGTGGACCCTATTCCCCGCAAAAAAACAACAGAAAAAAGACAATCGAACAGCGACTGATGACTTTAAAAGAATGGTTGCATGATTCACGACACTCTAACTAAAATTTGCTGAGCCAGGCCAACTTATCCAACTACCAGCTGTTAGCTCTTGTTTGACATTACACGTGTACAAAACGAAACCGAACTAAAAAAGTATGTTAGCAGAACAGAAGATCCTTTGTAGAGCTTACCTCCAAAGTATTCCCAGAAAGGCACACTATTATCCCGCTGCACCAAGTGGGGACCTTTGAAACTCATCTTGTATTCAAACCTCCGCTTCGGAGCTTGGCCATTAACGCCAAGGGAAACCAGTAACAAAACCAAAGTGCAGAACGAAAACATTGCAGAAGACATCTTTGATGTGGGTCAAACACTGAAGAACGCCACCTCACGGCTAAATGAATTACTTCCGGCCGGCCACTGTGTGGCCAGGCATTTTCAAGACGACAAGTCGTTATGTGAAGTTGGTGGCTAGAACAGCGAAAGATAACACGTCGGGGGCTGAAAAAAGCGCTACATTATAGAACAAATTAAATTCAGGGTGACCATAGTTTACTTTTAACAATATCTTCTTGAGTAACGTAACTTTTGATAGTACTATTTGAAAAACAGTCTGCTATTGCTTTCCTTATCTTGGCGCAGTGCGATTTGATAAATTCGTACCGGCAACCTGTTGCTCTCTCCCCTCTACTGCTGCCTCCGGGGCATGACTTTAACCCTTTACGTGTCATGAAATAATTCGCCTCTCGGCTTACGTAGTATGTTGACACTTCCAGTTTGTCGTGAGAAAGACACGGTTGGTCCCGTCCTCATTACGTGGCTCGTCCTTTGCTGTTACGCTGTCACCGCTGGATCATCTGGAAAAGTGGGATGGGGAACGAGAAGAAGGAACGCGTGCAAAAAAGGCCTTCTGTTTAGTTAAAGCAGTCCTGTGTGTTCTTGAAACATGACTGTGCTACATTTAACTTGTTTGTATCAGTGCAGTAGTATAGCATGCACCTGTGTGTGTGTGGGTGTGGGTGTGTACGTGTGTGTGTGGG